TTTTAACGAATACATTCGTTGTTGAGATAAAGATCGACGACTCGGTTTAAGCTCGGTGTTGGATTATAAGTAATCTCTTACCTCCCTCCCCTCCCCCCTTCCCCCCCTTCTCCCCTCATTATCATTTAAATTCGAGGACACGAATCACGATCTCTGGAATTTTCCGCGAGGTCTCTCGCCGTTTCGTTTGATTTTGCCACGCGACCTCGCTTTGTTTATAGACTGTGCAAAATCGTCTTGCAATATCGTTCAAACACTCGAGTATCGGCATCGTTGTTTTTCGATAAATATTTTGGGAGCCGCGATTTCGCGAAATCTTGCGAAATCTTCTACATATTCGGCGGACCGATCGAAATAAAATTAAACGGCGACGCGCTTAAACACTTGCGATTCACGCGCGTGACGATCCATCGTTTCTCCTCGTATATATACGTGCATAACTTCTAACTATTTGCATATCGCTAAGTATAGGCAAATATAATAATGCGTATTATTAAATAAATATACGCGAGCCGTCGAAGTTGCTCGATCGATCCATGCCTCGAAATGATCAATTTCAACGTTATTAATAATTGATCGGATTTGATTGAATTCTATACGATACGAAAAGTTACCAAATTATAACAGATCTCGTACCAAATTTCAAGATCGGATATAAAATGATTGCGAAAATAATTCGAATTATTTTTTCTATCTTCCCCTAAGGACACGTTTCGAAAACGCATTCGAAACGAGTTGCGAGGAATTTTCTTTTTTTTTTAAGATTTTTCCCGATCCTTTAGGCGTTGAAAAAAAGTTAGTAGAGAAATTTTCACTTATTTTTATTTTCTTCCAATCGATCGAAATTTCCAAAATCGGAAGAAACGATGGCGTTATCATGACGGATCGATTGGATCGCGGTGCACAGATAGATAGGCAAGGCATAAAACATGATACCTGCACGGTTATATAGACAGGCGTGCGTCTGTCTTTCTTCGAGTCTTCTATCACGTTCGCGCATTCATAAAACCGTCCGGCCCTCGTGGACCGGCCTCGAGAGTTTCTACGATCGTCATTACGCCTCCAAGGCGGTCGCTTGTCGGCCCTGGACCGTCATATACTACCTCTATAGTCAATCGCCTAGCGCGGACAAGCGAGACAGATTGATAGAGCGGCGAGAGATAAACTATTCTCTCTATCGAGCATGCGGCGTGCACACATATGTATATACGAAACTGTAGCCAAGTACATCCAATTATCGCTAGTAGACAATGAGCTCCAAGGTTTCGCGTCCACGAATCTCGATGACCGTCGTCCGTGCATTTTTTTTCCGTCGCCGTATCTCTAACTGTTGACTGATCCGAAGAAATAACGTACGTAGTGGTATTTCTAACGAGAATTATCAAGCGAGAAATATACGTGAATCGATGCCAAATAAATAATAGAATCTTTTAACAATGGAAAATATGTTGTAAATAATAATGGCGCTTAGTATAATGTATCGAGAATAGGGATTTTCTGTTGGTTCACGTTGTTGCCTCTTTTAAGGAAAGTATTTTTGTAATCGTTTGGTGTTATTTTTATCTGATGACTGTAACGCTTATTTTTATCCTAATATATCATAGAACTCGGTAATATGATAGGAATTTATTAAAAGAATTTCTAAAGTGTTCATAATATATATATCGAGTATTGGTAGTTGTGCAAACACGATAATTGCCTAATAATATTTTACTTGTTAAAATAAAGACGTGAACGAACTAAAAATTTCGTTGGTACATAAACCAATGGAATTTACGTACACGGCGAGTGGCATTGCAAAAAAAGCACTAGAGATAATTCTTCTCAACGAGCACGGCTAATCGTCCATCTGGCTGGCTAATAAAATCCTCGTTACTTTTTAAATTTCCCTCACTTTTACGTAAGAGAAGACCGATTCCCGAATCACGCGTAAAGGGAAGAAAGAATAAAATATCGAAACGATTTGTAAAGTATCGATCGAGCAGAATTGAGGTGATTCGCTAGCATGATGCACCCGGCAACGATCACCGATTCGCAACGTCCATTTGGGGGCACACGCGTTACATAAAAATGCGGCGTGTCTTCCGGTAATGCAATTATTGACCATACCGACGGTTCCGTAAACAACCGTGCGCTCGGCTAATGCGTCCAAAGACGCCAAGATTCCCGCGCTTCTCCGGGGCCCCGGCTTAAGGTTATGGCTTGCTCTAGGAGTGCATTAACCCCCGGAGTCGGCTCGAGAGCACACCGTAGAAGAAGTGCGCACAAGTGGCGCGAAGGGGAACGGAGAGAAGCTCTGCCGACTGCTCTCTCTCTCTCTCTCTCTCTCTCCCTTTCTCTCTCGTGCAGTCGATGCTTCTCTCTTTCTTTCTTCCTTCGTTCGGTATCTCGGTCCCTCTATCGTGCTTACGGCAGCGAAGCTAGGAGCGGTGCTCGCCTTGCCGAGTGCGATGCAAGCGCTTTTGCGAAGTCAGGGGCGGCCCAGGGGGAGGGGGAGGTAACGGCGGCAGAAACGGTGTGGGGGAGACGGGGGGACGGTGGCTACGGTTGCAAAGGGGGGCAGAGTGGAGGGCGGCCAGCGGTGACGCCGGCCAGACTTTCTCCGAAGAGCGAAAGTGAGAGGGCCTCCCGGGATTGTGCGCCCCCCTGTTGATCTAGGGGACAAGGGGGGACAGGGTTCTTGCTTTCACCGTGGCCAAACCGACGCTGCTGCACTTTTCTGCGACGTAGAAACGAAGGAGGCGCGCGATATATTGTTATAAGAAAATGAAAAGAAGGAACACTCTTCGGGAATATTGGTTGGAAGTATGATATATATATGTATAGAATGGGGAGGGGGTTAATACTAGGAAAGAGGGTTGTTGTTCGATAAAAGGAGAAATATCGTATGTTTATTGTAAATGTCTGTTGGTCGGTCTCTAGGAACTTGAATTCTTGCTTTCACCATGACCTAATCCATGCTTCGTCACTTGGTGCAACTTCTCAGTAACGTAGTTAGAAAGGAAGGGGATAGTATGCGATAGTATGTGATCATTATTATAAAAAGAGGAGAAATTTTCACGATTTAAAATTAAAGGAAAGGATCGTTATTCGTATAGGAATCTTTTGAGATTCTACGTCACTTAAATCTAAGAAGGATTTAGGATTCGTATCCGTGATATCATCGACTTAGAAAAAAAAAAAAAAAAAGAAAAATCTTTTTCTTAGATAAAGAATTGATCTAAAAAACTTGAATCATTCTGAAAAGAAAACAAAGAGAGAGAATAAATCTTCGAGATCCAGTCTGTATTACCAATTAAGCCTACTCTTAAAGAATTGAGCTCCTCCTATTTGAGATATCGTTGGAATTTTGTAATCGCACCGATAAATCGATGCTTGATCAGATTGCAACTGATATCGGGCGGGTATAAATACGAGATCGGTATTGGAATTCATTGGATGAATTATATCGTTTACGGGCGTAATCTACTACCGAAACTTTCTTATTTCTGCGGATGCGCATTCCGCGTGCACGCGAGAAAGGAAGAGAAAGAGGCGGTTAACGTGCGACGAGCACCGCCTTGGAGAAAAAGCAACCGTTCGTGGCGGCGGCGAGTTAGTTACAGCAGCGACACCGTGCAGCCGAACAATTACGAATTTACTTTCTTCTTCTACAACTTCCTCGTCGATGGTCACGCTGTAGATTAGCGAAGGCCCATCAACGTTGCACTGCAGCCACTGCTTTTTCTCCCCGCCTCTTTTCTTTTCTTTTCTTTTTTTTTTTCTCTCTCCCTCTTCGTGTTTTCATTCCTCCTCACTTTTCTCTCTCAATCTTGTTCTTCTGTCGAACGACCCGTCATCCTCTCTTCTGAACGAAGACTGCAAGGAGATGTAGATTAGCTCCCTTTTTCTTTTCCTTTTTTTTTTTTTCGACGAAACGATTCTTGTGCAAAGCACGAGAAAGTTCATAGTTCACCCGGTAATAAATCTTTTGGAATAAGGATCGAGATATGATCGATGTATTATTTTATTTCTCTGATAAAAAATACCGAATTATAATATGCTCACGAAACATTGGAATTTTCGTTTCGATTCAACTCGAAACATTCGATTGTAATTTATCATCCAAGAGTTGTTTCAAATTTTCGCGCCATTTTTTTTTTTTTTTTT